AGCGCTAGCCTTGAGCTGAAGAGCTGAGGGACAGTGCCCAGGTCTAGAGTTAAGGCCCCACGACCGGACCCAAAAAAAAACAACTAAAAAAAACAAAAATCAAAGGGAGACACCTCAGCTCTTTTGGCATTGGATTTATATGTGATCAAAGGCAGGATTTGGCTTTATGTTATTCTAGGATAAGTATTTTACTTTGTTCTCATACCTGGTACACTTAATCACTCCTAGTGTTAAACTTTTATCACTTGTTATCACTTGGCTCAGGGTTCCTTAGACTGGCCTGCTTATTAATAAAACTGATCAAGAAAGGATGCATTCTGTCATACATTTTTTTCAAGACAGACATCCTTGAGATAAGTACTCTGTGCCAGGAGAAGTCACTTTCCCAAGTAATTGCTATTCTGAAATAAATGTCTTTCTTTATGATGTCCTTGTTCAGTTTTTAGAGCACACTAATTGTTTTGGGCTAGCAAACAAGGTCAGATGGAAAAAGCTACTCTTGTTCTTTTCTTTCGTGCTGATGTCTCAGCTTATGAAGGAGTGTAAGAGTTAAAGCAAAGAAGATAGTACTTGTATGTTTTTAATAGTAACTATGAATTTAGTACAATGTTTTGTTTTTTGAATTCCTGGCTGCTGTTTATCATGCTTCATTTCCCCTAATTTATTCTGCCTCAGCAGAACTTACTGCTTAATTTCTGACTTTGCTTCTCTGTGTGTGTGTGCGTGTGTGCGCGTGCGCGCGCGCGCACGCGCTCCTGTGCACATGTACCAGTACTTGAACTCAAAGCCTGATGCTCTTGCTGGCTTTTTACTCAAGGCTGGCACTCTTAACACTTGACCCACACTTCCATTTCTAGGTTTTTGGTTGCTAATTGGAGATGAGTCTTTTGAGGCCGGGTGCTGGTGGCTTATGCCTGTAATCCTAGCTACTCAGAAGGCTGAGATCTGAGGATTGTGGTTCAAAGCCAGCCCAGGCAGAAAGTCCATGAGACTCCAATTAACCATCAGAAAACCACAAGTGGAGGGCTGAGAAGGTGGCTCAGTGGTAGAGCACTTGCCTTGCACGCCTGAGGCCCTGGGTTCGATTCCTCAGCACCACATAAGCAAAAAAGCCGGAAGTGGCGCTGTGGCTCAAGTGGTAGAGCGCTAGCTTTGAGCTGAAGAGCTGAGGGACAGTGCCCAGGCCCAGAGTTCAGGCCCCATGACCGGACCCAAAAAAAAGAAAACCACAAGTGGAGCTGTGGCTCAAAGTAGTAGAGCACTAACCTTGAGCAGAAAAGCAGAGACAGTCCCCAGGCCCTGAATTCAAGCACGGTGACCAACAAGAACAACAAAAGAATAGTTTCTTGGATTTGCCTGCCCAGTCTGGCTTCAAACAAGATCCTCAGTCTCCTAAGTAGTTAGGATTACAAATGTGAACCACTAACATCCAGCACTAGACCTCTTTCCTTCCTTCCCTTTCCTTCCTTCCTTCCTTCCTTGCTTTCTTTCTTTGTATGCCTAAATTGAAACCTTAGCTTCCTAATTGTTGGGATTATAGGTGTCTACCACCAAACCCTAGACTGGTTTTGGTTCTTTTTTTTTTTGTCAGTTGTGGGGCCTGAACTCTGGGCTTTGGCGCTGTCCCTCAGCTCTTCAGCTCAAGACTAGCGCTCTACCACTTGAGCTACGGTACTACTTTTGGCTTTTTCTGCTTATGTGGTGCTGAGGAATCAAACCCAGGGCCTCATGCATGCAAGGAAAGCATTCTACCACTAAGCCATCTTCCCAGCTCCCTGGTTTTGGTTCTTATAAAGAATCCATGGCTACTTTAGTAATTTCATTTGAGTTTGCATGTACTTATGCTTAGACATTTTAGGCTTGTTTAATTGAGCCATCGGAAAGTGCTGGATTTTCTGAGTGCTGGTGGCTTATGACTGTAATCCTAGATATTCAAGAGGCTGAGATCTGAGGATCACAGTACAAAGCCAGTCTGGGCAGAAAAGTCTATGAGACTGTTCTCCAAGAAACCACCAAAAAAGCTGGAAGTAGAGCTGTGGTTTAAGTGCTAGCTTTGAGGAAAAAAAAGATGTTAGGGATAGTGCCCAGACCCTGAGCTCAAGCCCCAGGACTGGCAAAAGAGAAAAAAAAAAAGTACTGAATTTATCATCTTGTTTTTAAATGATGGTTGACGGCAAACAGATTAGCAACTACATGGCCTCCTTTTCTATCTACAGAAATAAATCATGGTACTTGGAGTAAGACAGAAACCCAGAGATTAATCAAGGCAGTTGAAGACGTAATTCTGAAGAAAATGTCTCCTGAGGAATTACAGGATTTGGATTCTAAACTTCAAGAAAGTCCTGAATGTCGCCTGTCAATTGTCAGGGAGAAACTCTACAGGGGCATATCATGGATAGAAGTGGAGGCCAAAGTAGAAACCAGGAACTGGATGCAGTGCAAAAGTAAGTGGTAAGTTTTTAAGACTTCTTATGTACATTTCAGCAGGATTCTCTTGCCCTCACTGCCAGTCTCCTGTAGGCTCTTTTCTTTTTGTTTAGAGTGGGTGGAAGGTGAGGTTGCCAGGAATATGTCCATAATAACTTACATGTCATCTCCACATGATTGCATCTCTGGTCTACTACTCCAGGCTGTTTCAGTACCAACATCTCATTTAAATGAGCCCTGAGCCATGTACTGGTGGCTCATTCCATAAACCTAGCTACTCAGGAGGCTGAGATCTAAAGATTTTAGTTCAAAGGTAGCCCAGATAGAAAAGTCCATATACTCTTTATCTCTGGTTAACCAGCAAATGCCCCAAATGTAGGTGTGGCTCAAATGGTAAAGTACTACTCTTGAGCAAAAAAGCTGAGGGACAGCACCTAGGCCCTGAGTTCAAATCCCACTACCAAGGAATGAATAAGGAACATCTTGCTGAAGAATCCACACATTTAGGGTAACATGCAAGATGTAGTGTGTGTGTGAGACACAAGCACGCGTGCGTGCATGCGTGTGTTTGCACCAGTACCAGAACTATTCTTTCTCAGCCTTCTTGTTTATGGTTGGCACTCTATTACTTGAGTTATGCCTCCAGACCAGCATTTTTGCTGGTTAATTGGAGATGATGTCTCTCAGATTTTCCTGCCTGGGCTGACTCTAACCATTATCCTCCAGATCTCAGTCTCCTGCTAGCCTCAGCTAGAATCACAGGTGTGAGCCACCAACACCTGGTTTCAAGATTGTTTTTTTTTAATTTGGGGCAAAAATTAGGAAACTTAAACTCTAAACTTAGGTTAGTTTGTGCAACATTGCCATGAATGCTGAAGAGCAGGCTGTAGGTGCTGTGCATCTCCTCGATCAGAATTGCAAATGGGAACCCCTGCTTTCACTATATTTGATGTCAGTATAATTTGTGGAGGAGATGGGGAAAAACAAGTCGTTTAAGGATACAGGTGGACCTGTTGCAACAATGAGAAGTACAAGTTGTCATGTCGAAAATGAACTTTACAACTTCGGTGGGGGGGGGGTGCTGGGAAGGGATGTGAAGCATAAACAAAGGAAGAGGCTGCAATGCTTGATAAGAAATGTACTCATTATCTTGCCCATGTAATTGTAACCCCTCTGTACAGTATGTTTACAAAAAATAAAAATTAAAAAACAAAAGAATTGCAAATGGGAGGCTTGATGGTCTGTTGGCCCAATTGTGGAAGCCTTTGGTCAGTCATCTAACTGCAGGTGCTCTCACCAGGATGCCAGGCAGCCTCCCAGCCCCCAGCTCCAGGTGCTGGAGGGATCATCAAGCCATTAAATACTTACTATATTTGTCCTTTTTGGTGTCCCAGACACTGCTGGTGGTAATAAAAGCAATATCTGTTTTATAAACAATCAAAAATAAATTGAGTTTATATTGTTTCCTTTAGTGACTATTTATAGGGGTCTTTTTTTTTTTTTTAAATACGGATGGCCTCCTGAATTTGCATGCCATCCTCGCACAGGGGTCATGCTAATCGTCTCTGTATCTTTCCAATTTTAGTATATGTTCCGTCAAAGTGAGCATAGCTTATTCTTTTTTTTTCCTCCCTTTTAAACAGTTCTTACGAAAACTTTATACTATACACTAACATAGAACTCCTCGTAGCTGTCATCCAGTCTCAGTCATTGGATTTCTTTTTTATTTTTGTCAGTCATGGGCTCGGACTCCAGGCCTGGGTGCTGTCCCTTCCTTCTTTCACTCAAGGCAAGTGCTCTACCACTTTGAGACATAGCGCCACTTCTGGTTTTCTGGTGATTAGACATAAGAGTTTCACAGACTTTCTTACCCAGGCTGGCTTTGAACTGTGATCCTCAAATCTCAGCCTCCTGAATAGCTAGGATTACAGGCATAAACCACCAGTGCCCAGCATCATTGGCTTTCATTTTATTTTTCTTTCCTTTTTCAAATAGATATGTTCTTAGTAATGAACAAATAAGATGGAAAGGTAGAATTGGTTCTGAATGAGGACAGTTTGGATGAGAAAATGTAGGACATTCTAGTAGAAACTTTTTTTTAGTAGATCTAAATGTATTTTTCTTTCTTTTAATGTAGGATGGAAATTCTCACCAAGAGGATGACTAATGGCAGGCTCCCTCACCGGGGAGTCAATGCTCTACAGGCCAAAATCAACCTCATTGAAAGGTATGGATAGAAATGGATACTGGGGGGCTGGGAAGGTGGCTCAGTGGTAGAGTGCTTGCCTTGTATGCATGAGGCCCTGGGTTCAATTCCTCAGCACCACATAAGCAAAAAGCTGGAAATGGCACTGTGGCTCATGTGGTAGAGTGCTAGCCTTGAGCTGAAGAGCTGAGGGACAGTGCCCAGGCCCAGAGTTCAGGTCCCACGACTGGCCAAAAAAAAAAAAAAAGGAAATGGATACTGGTTTTGTTTTGTTTTTGGTGATACTGGGGTTTGAATTCAGGGCCTTTCACTTGCTAAGCAGACATTCTACCATTTAGGCCATATCACAGCTCTTTTTCTGCTAATTATTTTTCACATAGGGTCTCACTTTTTACCTGGGCCAACTCACACTCTGATCCTCATATTTTCACTTCCCTCATAGCTGGGATAACAGATGTGAGTCACTATGCTCATCTATTTTCTTGGTTGAAACAGAAACTTACAAACTTTTTGCTCAGGCTGACCCACATTCCTTCTGATCACAGCCTCTTAAGTAGCTTAATTTACCAGTGGGAGCCACTGCACCAGCTTCACTTCATATTGTTTTGTCTAGTTTCTCTCAAGCCAAAGAGTAGTTGTTGCCACAGTAGAGACTGTGGCTTCATTGCCAGAGGTTAAATCCCTGCTCTAGCACCTTCCACATACATTTCTGTGGGCACACAATCTGCCTCTGAGTCTCTGTTAACTTGTCCTAAATGAGGACAGTGACACTGAGACGTCCCATCTCCTTAGTAGTATTGGGGAGATAGGGTGAAATGCTCTATGGAAAATGTACTGTGTATACTGTGGGGTCAGTTTCCTCTGTGGAGGTTTTCCTGCCCATTAGGAAATGGAGATAGAAAATCCAGACAGCCTTGCAGCTCTGCAGCAGGAGTTTTCTATTGTCATCATTGCTTGATCTTTGGTGTTTTGCTTTTTTTTTTTTTTTTCTGGTCTAGGGACTTGAACTTGGGGCTAGGCACTGTCCCTGAGCTTTTGATCAAGGCTAGAGATGCTTGAGACACAGGTCCATTTCTGGCTTTTTGGTGGTTAATTGGAGGTAAGAATCTCAGATACATTTTTGCTGGAGCTGGCTTGGAACCATGATCCTCAGATCTCAGCCTCCTTGAGTAGCTAGGATGACAGATGTGAGCCGCTGGTGCCTGGCTTAGTCTTTGGCTTTGTCCTTGAGTTGCTCTTTGGTGCAGAATAAAGTGTTTTGAAGGAAGAGGAGACATGGGCCTGTTTTGTAAAGGCTGGAAGTCTGGTAGACCAAGCTCTTGTTTACAAAGTAATAACAAAGACCAGCAGCATGCTCTGGGGCTCTGGCCACCCAGCCCAGCTTCCTTGATCCTACTCTGTCAGGAGCCTGCTCTGAGTTCATTGCTGTGCTTCCTATTCTCTCTGCTAGTCCTGCTGCCCATCTTCCACTCTTCTTCCTCTGCTGGTGAGAGCTTGGAGCAGAAGATGTGAGGGAGCATCACTGAGAGGTGCACTCTTGGCACCACCTGGTACTCATGAGTGAGCTTGTCTCAGGAGTCAGGGGGGCTGGGGAAGCTAATCCTCTGAGCTCAGCAGATAGGGTTGAGGGTTATTATAGATGAGTAGTGCATATGTTAGTATCACTGCAGTGTGTCACCTTGTAAGTGCTGAGTACAGATAAGCTGAGTACAGTCACTGTGCGTTGATTGGAGGGATAGCCTTCCAGTTCATCTCCCTAGCTCACTCACTCAGTGAACTTCAGCTGACTTGGATGCAGGTAGGCATGAAGGGGCTAAACCAGATGGAAGCACCAGTGCCCTCCAGCTCCTGCCATTCTGTGAGAACTGGTAATGTCTGTCTGCTGAAATTATTGTGTTCTGTCTTGCAGGTTGTATGCCCTGAATGTGGAAGATGCTAATGAAATAGATTGGGAAGTTCTTGCTGGTGCCATTGGGTAAGACCTTGTGTTCCACTGGATGGTAATTGAAGGCAATGACTCAGTAAATGACTAGAATAAAGGATGGTGTACAAACCAGAGTTAAAATAAATCTTGTTTGTAAGAAAATCAATCTGATTCAACATAGAGTAGAAAGGGTCTTAGAAACAAAGTGTGTGTGTGTGTGTGTGTGTGTGTGTGTGTGCTGGAGCTTGAACTCAGGGTGTATGTGTGTGTACGGGAGCTTGAACTCAGGGCCTAGGCCCTATACTTTAGCTTTTGTGCTCAAGGCTAGCACTCTACCACTTAGCCACAGCTTCACTTCCTTTTTTCTTTTTTTTTTGTCAGATGTGGGGCTTGGACTCTGGGCCTGGGTGCTGTCCCTGAGCTCTTCAGCTTAAGGAGTGTGCTCTTCCACTTGAGCCACAGCACCACTTCTGGTTTTCTAGTGGTTAATTGGAGATAAGAGTCTCATGGACTTTCTTGCCTGGGCTGGTTTTGAACTGCGATCCTCAGATCTCAGCCTCCTGAGTAGCTAGGAATCCAGGCATGAGCCACCAGTGCCCAGCTAATTGAGACTCTTATCTCTAACCACCAGAAAACTGGAAGAGGCACTGCTGTGGCTCAAAGTGGTAGAGTGCTAGCCTTGAACAAAAAGAGCTCAAGGACAGTATTCAGGCCGTGAGTTCAAGCCCCACAACTGGGGCTAGCTTCAGACTGCAACCCTCAGATCTCATCCCTCTGATTACAGGCATGAGCTACTGGTGCCAAGCTACAAGGAGGTCCACTTAAAAACATCTATCTAAAGGGCTTGGAAGGTGGCTCAATGGTAGAGTACTTGCCTTGCATGGATGAGGCTATAGGTTCGATTCCCTAGCACCACATAAGCAGAAAAAGCCAGAAGTGGCATTGTGGCTCAAGTAGTACTTTATTCTGGCTTAAATATTAAGAGTTGAGAAACATCAAAATAAACTCAGCTGTAGAAAATATTTAAATAGGCCGGGCACTAGTGGGAGGCTGAGATCTGAAGATCATAGTTCAGAGCCAGCCTGGGCAGGACAGTCCAAGAGACTCTTCGCTCCACCAGAGAACCAAAAGTGGCACTGTGGCTCAAGTGGTTGAGTGCTTGCCTTGAGCTGAAGAGCTGAGGGACAGTGCCCAGGCCCAGAGTTCAAGCCCTGCTACCAACCAAAAAAAAAAAGAAGAAGATTTAAATAGTAAAGAGAACACTCCTGTGTGGTAGTGCACTTTACAATCCTAGCAATTTATGACTTGATTGTTCTTGTTGCTCTAAACTGAAATGTAAATTGAAAATGTACCAAAATATTATAAGTATTCTTTTTAGCTTTGTAATGTAAAAAGTCAGGATTTAGGAATGTATCTGAATGGCTGTGGTCTAGAGTGTGGTCTGGGGAGTTAGATAACCAGGAGGAGGCCCAGCTCTGTCTTCCAGTCACTCTGTCTCAGTTTATTCCTCTCCAGAACACAGGGGAAGAGTGGTGGCTCCTTTCTACAGTGGTTATGAGGGTCATTTATTACAAGGTTGGACTTCCTAAGGCTGGGCCACATCCAAGGCAGGGATAACTTCAACCATTCTTCATGTGAACATAGCCATCTTGTACTATTCAGTTTCTCTTTTTGGTTTAGTGTTTTGGTTTTTAGTGCCTTTCATGTTTGTTTTACACCATCATATTTATGAACCTATTGATGGTCAGGAACAGGATAAGAAAATTGTAGATGTCCATATAGTTAGAAAATTGCTTATACAATTATTGACATGATAGATTTTTAACTGACTTTTGAAAAAATTTTTCCTTTTTAAAGTGATGTGCCTCCATCTTACGTTCAAACTAAACTTTATAAGCTGAAAGCTGCCTATGTTCCCTTTTGGCAGAAAAAGACTTTTCCAGGTTAGTATGCCTAGTGTTTGTTTTGTTACAAACAGGATGTTGTGCTGTAGGCTGTGTATGTCATTAGACTGGTGACTTCAGTCATAAAATGGTGTGAATGTGGGACTGGGATTGTGGCTTAGTGGTAGAGTGCTTTGCTAGCAAGCATGAAATCCTGACTTCAATTCCTCAATATCACATACACAGAAAAAGCCAGAAGTGGCTTTGTGGCTCAAGTGGTAGAGTACTAGCCTTGAGCAAAAGAAGCTCAGGTATAGCATACAGGCCCTGAGTTCAAGCCCCAGGACTGGCAAAAAAAAAAAAAGGTGTGAATGATGTCAGAATCTGCCTGACAGGGCTTGCAAAGTGTGATCATGTCCCTTGGGCAGGAGCTCTGTGTGCTCCTGGTCTGACTGTCCTGGGCACTTATGCACACATCCTACAATCACACGCATTACCTAACATAACACACAGACACCACAGAATGTGTCAGATGCCCACTTCCTGTTTTGTAGCCATCTCAGGGTGGTTTAGTCTTGTTTGTCTGTGTGGCTTCCTGGGTCTCATCCAGACCTGTCAGACCCTAACCTCCAAGCTGAGAGCAACCACAGGCATATCCCCTGTACTGTCCAATGGCAGTGTGTACCTGCAGCCACAGGTGGGGATACTTGAACCTGGCATATGAAGAGGAAGGACTTGGCATTCAGCAGATATTACCACCTATGCTTACATTCTTGGTGCCTCTGTGACTTTGGGCAAATCTTAGAAGGTTATATGCCTTCAACTCCTCATTGGGAAAATGGCTTCAAAGTACTTACCTGATAGGATTGTTGTGAGGGTTTAATTGAAGTGAAGAGAATAGGATTGCATGTTGTAATAAGAGCAGTGCAGTGTGCCAGTATTCCATAACCTTTGGTATGTGTGTTGAGGGGATACTTGAACTCAGGGGCTGATCTGTCCCTTAGCTTTTTTGCTCAAGGCTGTGATGTTCTACTACTTAAGCCACAGTTCTACTTCTGGCTTTTATTTTCTGATTACTTGGAGGTAAGAGTATCACACAGTTTCTGCTCACTCTGGCTTTGAACCAGGATCCTAAGATCTCAGCCTTCTGCTTAACTAGGATTATATGTGTGAGCCACAGGCATCTGTCTGTCCTATACCCTTTGACTTGGATAAGGGGTTTTGTACAAGCAGCTTCAAACTTTGATTTCTTTTCTGTAGAGATCATTGACTACCTTTATGAGAATAGTCTACCTTTGTTTAAAGAACAATTGGAAAAGAAGATAGAGAAAGAAGGCACCAAAATTCCAACTCCCTCAACACCAAAGCAGGATTTCCTATTTAAAGATATCTTCTACTGTGACGAAGATAGTGAGGGAGAAGGCATGGAGGAGCACAGTTAACTGGAGGTGACTATTGTCCTTGTTCTTTGTTTATATGGATGTATATTTCCAACACCATGATGAAATACTTGAGATCAACTTACACGGAGAAAAGGTTTATTTTGGATCACAAGTCTCTGTGTTTCAGTCCATGGTCTGTGGACCTGTGGTAAGGCAGCACATCATGGCTGGAACAGACACTGGCCTCATGTCCAGGAATGAGAAGAAAACAAGGTTTAGGGAGGGGTCCCATAATCCTCTTCAAGGTACACCCCAGGAACCTCTTAAAAGACCTCCTAGAAGCCTAATAATACTACGCTGGGGCCCCTGTCTTTAATTCGTGGGGCTTTGAGAGACCTTCCAGATCCATACAATAGCAGGGAGTGAAGTTCTGTTTAGTTCTGGTGTTTAATTCTGGTGTTTAATTAATAAAGAATGTGCATTGGCTAGAGGTGGGACATGAGTGGTAATTTTTGTTGATTCACATTCATATTGAATGAGTTGATTGAATATTTCTGTACTATTGTTTTGACAGTACTGACAGGAACAGCTCTGTGAAGCCACGCCAGCCCAGTCCCTCTCACTGCAGCAAGGGGTAGCGTCCCATCCTGTGACTGTTTTCCCTATGTGGGTGCCACTGTGCATGTTCAGCAGAATTGAGGAAGCCGACTGTCTCTGAAACGTGCCATTCTGCCTGTTTTTCCAGACACTCAGATGTGCATCCTCAGGGTGGCAAGTTCGAGGATGTGGATCTGCTCTTCCCTCACTCAGTATCTGTTGTGCTGTCTCTGCCTTGTGTACATTTCCTTATCCTGAGCAGGACACTGACCTCTGATCTGCTTCTCACGGAAATTATCCACTCTGAGCAAGTCACTGAATGATATTTTCAGTTATATTAATTACAGAATAAAATGAAGTGCTAGTCATGGTATAAGTAGGAGGAATATGATTATGATTCAAGGCCAATCCAAGCAAATAATGTGAGGCCCTACCTGGAATTAGAGCAAAAAATATTTTTTAAAAGCTTAGCGCCAGGCGGTGGGGGTTCATGCCTATAATCCTAGCTACTCAAGAAGCTGAGATCTGAGGATCACAGTTCAAGGCCAGCCCAGGCAGGAAAGTCCATGAGACTCTTATTTCCAGTTAACAACCAGAAATCTGGAAGTGGTACTGAGGCTCAAGTGGTAGAGCACTTGCCTTGAGCTGAAGAACTGAGGGACAGTGTCCAGGCCCAGAGTTCAAACCCCACAACCCAGCAACAACAAAAAAAGCGTAAGGCATGGCTTAAGTGGTAAAGCGCTTACCTAGCAAGCTTAAGGCCTTGAGTTTGAGCCCTAGAACCTTCCTTTGCGGGGGAAGGGGGTAGGAATCAACTGTAGATGCAAAGCATGGTGACATAGGCCTATGATCGCAGCAATCTAGGCTGAGAAAAGAAGATTGCAAGTTTAGGACTAGTCTGAGCTACATAAAATGAGACATTCCCTAAAAAATAAAAAAAATTTTAAAAAACCTGCTAAATGAGATAAAAGAACCATCTGGGGAAGGGTAAATTGCCTGGGTTGGGGCAGTATAACAAGGTTGCTGTTACCTGTGCTCCTGTCCCTATACCTGTGTCTCAGGGGACATAGTAACTGCTGCTTCCTCTTGCCGTGTAAAGAGTCCCCAGTCAGCCCTTAGCAGAACCTGGCTCTGTATAACCGGTGTTTGGGAAGTTGGTGCTGAGGCTCCTGGACCTGTGTGCAGGGGATCCCAGCACAGATGCTGGAATGGCGCCCCATGTAGCAATGGCTACTTCTGTTGCACAGTGTACCTGCACTGTGCCTTGTGTTCTCATTTAAGTGGCACCCTTATTTACAGAGCTACATGTGTTCCAGACCTCCTGTCATGAGAGGAGAAGCACACAGGAGAATTGGATACTTTACCCACATGATCTCCAGCAGCTCACCTTGTGCTAACAGACAGTGAATCTTCAGCAAGTAAACGAACATCATCTTAGTAAGCATTTCTCCTTGAGTCAGCCCCCTCTGTCCATCACGCCTACCCTTCTCCATGCCATATGGAGCCACTGGGTAAGATACATTAGAACATTAGATACATTAGATACATGTATCTTGTAGCCAACCAGTGGTTTTGCTTCAGGGGATCTGTCTTTTGTCAGTCATGGGACTTAAATTCAGGGCCTGGGTGCTATCACTGAGCAACTTTGCTTAAGGCTAGTGCTCTGCCAGTTGAGACACAACTCCACTTCTGGTTAAGAAGAGTATCATGGACTTTGCTGCCCAGTCTGGCTTTGAACCACAGTCCTCAGATCTCAACCTTCTGAGTTAGCTAGGATTATAGGCAGGAGCCACCAGCATCTGGCTTAGAATGTTTCTTAATAAGAACCAACTATTCAGCTGTTCAAGATACATTCCCAGAAGGCAATATTATGTGGAGATTTAAAATGACATTTCATTGACATGAAATATTTTAAATGAAAATTTTCAGATTACCTATTTTCTCCATTTTGTAATTGTAAAAAATAAATGTATTGTGTAAACAGGTGTATTGAAATGTCTAGAGTGGAGTCAGTGGTTTCTGTAGGGGTTCCTAGATGAAGACTTGGGACACTGAGACCCCCCTAGTTCTGGGGGGCGGGGATCTGGGCTGATTCTCTGCTGTTCCTTCTGCACAGTCCATCTGGTGTTCAGTGTGCATAAACCCACCCCCTCCAACCCCATTAAGCACACACCCAGCAGAACCACTACAGAGATTTACCCAGGAAGGGAAGGTTCACTCCAATCTATGGACTCAATTCAAGAGTTGAAATTCAGCTGAGAAGATGGATAGTCAAGATCCCATTGGCAGGGGCTGGGAAGGTGGCTCAGTGGTAAAGCGCTTGCCTTGCATGCTTGAGGCCCTGGGTTAGATTCCTCAGCACCACATAAACAAAAAGAAAAAAAGCTGGAAGTGGTGCTGTGGCTCAAGTGGTAGAGTGCTAGCCTTGAGCTGAAGAGCTGAGGGACAGTGCCCAGGCCCAGAGTTCAGGCCCCACGACCGGACCCAAAAAAAAAAGATCCCATTGGCAGAAAAAAAATGGGGGAAGGATAATGTGGAAATAGTCCATGTACATGCTGGATAGCAGGTGATTATATGGAGCCTTTTACATTTTGTCCAATAAGCTCATGCAGTTGGATCATTTTATTTTTTTTGCCACCTTTTTTTTTGGTCATGGGGCTTGAAATTCTGGGCCTGGGGGCTGTCCCTCAGCTCTCCAGCTCAAGGCTAGCCCTCTACTACTTGAGCCACAGTGCCACTTCTGGCTTTTTCTGCTTATGTGGTGTTGAGGAATTGAACCCAGGGCCTCATGCATGCAAGGCAAGCACTTTACCACTGAGCCACCTTCCCGGCCTGGATCATCTTATTTTTATAACCTTGTTTCACTTGGCACTTCCATGCCTCTATCCTCCAGAAGAAGCAAATTGTATAGATCTTAGCTGATGACTTTTTTTTTGGGGGGGGGCTGGTATTGGGTCTTGAACTCAGGGCCTCATGCTGTTGCTTGCCTCTTTTTGCTCAAGGCTGGTCTCCACTTCTGGCTTTCTGCTGGTTAATTGGAGAGATTTGTCTGCCTTGGCTGGCTTCAAACTTCAGATGAGCCAGCCAACTATGTTTATTGGCCCAATGACCCTTTTTTACATAGTTCTAGGAATCTGGGTAAAAAGGCCAACCAGGCATTGTGTGTGTGTGTTGTGTATGAAGTTGGACAGCGCAAGAACTCAATGAGAGGACCAGAATGTGGTTCAGGATGGGGTCACTGAGATCCTCAGGGGTGCCTTTTTTTTTTTTTTTTTTGGTTGGTCGTGGGCTTGAACTCTGGGCCTGGGCGCTGTCCCTCAGCTCTTCAGCTCAAAGCTAGTGCTCTACCACTTGAGCCACAGTGCCACTTCCAGCTTTTTCTGCTTATGTGATGCTGAGGAATCAAACCTAGGGCCTCATGCATGCAAGGCAAAGCACTCTTACCACGGAGCCACCTTCCCAGCCCCTGAGGAGCGCTTTTACATAGACTCCCAGTCCGTGGACAGAGAACATGACCAAAGAGATGAATTCATTCCCTCCACGAAGATTCAGCAGTAAGAGCTCCATGCAGAGAGGAAAGGGTGAAGGAGGAAACCTGGTGGTGCCTGTGTGCAGTGCCCGGCAGGAAGTGGTACCCACCAATCAGAATGACTACAGCAACCACAACAAACCCCTCTCCCCCAGCTTACCTCGAACAAGATGGGATCAACAACTCTAAGATGTTTTAAACAGCCTTGATCAACAACTCTTAAGATGTTTTAAACAGCCTTGAGCAGGTTCTGTGGATTCTTGTACTTCAGAGGCTGTGCCTGCCATGGCTGATGGCTTCCACCAGCAGCAAACACCCAGAGAGATGCCGTATATAGAACACAAAGAACTCCCTTCAATTCACCTGAGGAGCTGTGGGCCACCTGCAGTGAGCCAGGTCCTAATGGGAACTGAGGACACAAGACTCCCAGCTTCCTGGACTGCTCCCTCTTCATACACTCCATCCTTGCCTCTCCTCTCATGGCATTTTCCTATGCAAGACCCCTGGGTGAACTCAGCCACTTTGCTTCTACCTGTACCCCAAGGGCCGGATATTCCTAGAATAAAACGACTTAGCTGACTGGCCTTACTGTAACCATGGTAACAAGCCTCAGGTGGACCCAGCAATCCACTGTGACTCCAGCATTTTTTTTTTTTTTTGATGTGCCAGTACTGAGCACTGTTTCTGAGCTTTTGTGCTCAAGACTAGAGCTCTACCACTTTGAGTCACAGCTCCATTTCTTGTTTTCTGGTGGTTAACTGGAGATAAAAGTCTCATGGACTTTCCTACCATGGCTGGCTTTGAAGCACGATCCTTAGATCTCAGCCTCCTGAGCAGCGTGGATAACAGGTGTGAGCCACCAGTGCCAGCGGTCCTTATACTCTTCCTTTGCTTTTTTTTTTTTTTTTGCCAGTTTGGGGGGCTGAACTCTGGGCCTGGGTGCTGTCCCTCAGCTCTTTCAGCTCAAGGATAGTGCTCTACCACTTGGGCCACAGCACCACTTCGGGCTTTTTTCTGCTTATGTGGTGCTGAGGAATCGAACCCAGGGCCTCATGTATGCAAGGCAAGCACTCTACCACTGAGCCAACTTCCCAGCCCCTCTTCCTTTGCTCTTTTGCTCAAGACTGCTGTTCTGCCACTTGTGCCATACCTTCACTTCATGAGTCTTAGGCTTGTCTGCCTGTGCTGGCTTTGAATCATGATCTTCAGATCTCAGCCTCCAAAATAGCTAGGATTACAGATGTGAGCCACAGGCACCCAGCTTCTCTAGTAGTCTTGCCTGTCATTACCCTATAGTGGCTATTCACTCAGCCCTTCCATACTCTTCTGCATTAATCACAATTCAGTGAGAAACTTGAAGTCGTTCCTCATCACCTCCCGCAGATAGACAACGTGCATGCCCCCTAAGCCAACCCCTGGACCTGACCCTTCCACATTTTCTCCCAAGTTTCTCATCCTGCACTGATCCCTGTCCAAAATTGTTGGTCTGGATCATTGCTACCATGAAGAACTGGTCTCACCAGTCATGTATGTACGCATAAAATTGGTTGTGCATGTGGAATCAGCTAGCAGTTGCTGCCCACCTGCTGTGGTCCCAGCCATTATTTTTCACAGTTCTGTAAGCAACACCAATAGTATTAGTTTTCCAGTTTTTTTAGTTTTTCATATTGTTTTTCTGCTTTATCTCCACTCTTTATATTTCTTTTGTAAGTTTTGATCTGTTCATTTTTTTTCTTTTTTGGAGCTTCAGCTGCAACAGCAGAAGAGACAGTTTATTGCACATGTGTGACACAACTAGGAACAATAAAGTAATGAAGTAATAAAAGTGATTTGAGATCTTTCTTCTTTCTTCTTTTGTAATGTTAGACATTTACAGTTTCACATTTTCTTCTGAGCACTGACAGTCAATAGATCAATAACGGGGCCAGGGACCAAATGATTCTTTTCAAAATTGGATTCTGTAATAATTGGATGAATGGATATGGAACA